AGTGTCTACATGTGTGTGTGTATCTCCACTGTGTGTGTGTGTATAACTCCACTGTGTGTGAGTGTCTACATGTGTGTGTGAGTGTGTGTCTACATGTGTGTGTGAGTGTGTGTGAGTGTGTGTGTGAGTGTGTGTGAGTGTGTGTGTGAGTGTCTACATGTGTGTGTGAGTGTGTGAGTGTCTACATGTGTGTGTGAGTGTGTGTCTACATGTGTGTGAGTGTGTGTGTGAGTGTCTACATGTGTGTGTGAGTGTCTACATGTGTGTGAGTGTGTGTGTCTACATGTGTGTGTGAGTGTGTGTGTGTCTACATGTGTGTGAGTGTGTGTGTGAGTGTCTACATGCGCGTTGTTTACGCGTCACGCGCCCCCTTTTGTTTACAGAGAGCCGGGGCTGCGGTGACGTCACGACCGCACCACTCACAAAAACAACAATAAGTATCCCTCCGCCGGAGCGAGACCAAACAACGCAGTCGCCTCGCAGTTTTTGTTTTATTTTCTTCTTCATCTCGTTGTGTACGTACTCGAAATCTTATTTCCTCACTCCGTCTCTCATTTCCCTCGCGTCGCGGTTGCTTTTTTAATCATCTCGCTCCGTTATCTGTTAAAGCGAGAAGAGTTTCACGCGCCGTACAAGAGTAAAAGGGTCTATTTTGTTGCGTGGAGTGCGGAAAGTAGAGCGATGAGTTGGAAGTATAAAGCCGAGTAACGAAGAGCGTCGAGTGTGAAAGTACCGAGGAGTTTAAGTCAACCGAGGTACTAATAATTGTTGTTGTTGTGTTGTTGTTGTTTAGTCGCGAGGAAGCTAAGACAAGCGGGTTTCGTCAGTCGCCATCCGTCTACAACACAAGGAGGAGAGGGAGGAGAGGGAGGAGAGGGGAGGGGGGTCCCCGTCCTAAGAGGTAAAGTTCGTGTCGCGATGATTTTCATTTTATTTTAACAACAAAAAGAAGCTCCACTTTGCCAAGTCGCTGGCAACTGCCGTCGTCGTGAATCCGCGGCCACTTTTTTTCACGGCCGCCCCGGGGGCCGCTTTGAGATCCGCTCCGGGTTTTGGTTTTTTTTTGTGTGTGGACGGGGGTCTGAGGGGAGGGGGGGTGTGGGGGGGGAATAGCCGGCGGTGACGTCACCGCACTTTGGATTTCCCAGCGCGGATTGGCCGCGGCGCTCGTGTTTATCCGCTCTGCAAAAACTAAACGTGTGTTTTTTAGTTATTCGCGTTTTGTTTGCGTTGAGCAGTTGTGGCAGCACGAAACGCGACTTGCTTGTCAACAACAACAACAATTGTTGTGTATGTGTGTGGACTTAACAGAGAGGGGGGTGGGGGGGGGGGATATAACAGGCGACGTTTCGGTCAATGGCCCTTCTTCATAGCACGTGGATAGCGAGGCCAGGAATTTATTATTAATATTTTATTATTATTGTTTATTATTGTTTTATTATTGTTTTAATTTTATTAATTTTTATTTCATTTTTTTACCTACGTGACTTTACCGAAAGAACTAATGGTATGAATCCTTGCAGTCACGAAAGCTTCAAATCTAGAAGGAATTTAAAAGTTAGTGTTTTTTTTTACTTCTCCAAACCAGTTTTAAAATTGTTATCTGCTAATTACCAAAATTAATGGGTCTAGTTTTGGCTGTGCGCGTCATCTTGGGTGAGGATGGTTACCCCCCCCTGCGCATGCGCCAAACGGCCAGTAACAAACAGCACCGTTGAAGGTGAAGAGCGAGAGAAGCTGATGTGTGAAATTGAGCAAAGTCGGTATTGTAAGAGTGGAGCAGTGCGATGGAAGAAGCAGTGAAGAGGTGTTTTGTGAGTTGAAGAGTCAGTGGGTGGGTGAGTGAGGTGAGTTGGTGGGTGAGTGCATACATTAGTGAGTGGGTGGGTGAGTGAATGAGTGTGTAAGTGAGTGGGTGAATGGGTGAGTGAGTTAGTGGGTGAGTGAGTGAGTGGGTGAATGGGTGAGTGAGTGGGTGAGTGAATAAATTAGTGAGTGGGTGAGTTGAGTGGGTGAGTGAATGAGTGAGTGGGTGGGTGAGTTGAGTGAATTAATGATTGGGTGGGTGGGTGAATGGGTGAGAGAGTGGGTGACGTGAGTGAGTGGGTGAGTGGGTGAATGGGTGAGTGAGTGGGAGAGTGAGTTAATGAATGATTGAGTGGGTGAGTGAGTGAGTGGGTGAATGGGTGAGTGGGTGAAGTGAGTGGGTGAGTGAGTGGGTGAGTGAGTGGGTGAGTGAGTGGGTGAGTTGAGTGAATGGATGATTGAGTGGGTGGGTGAGTGAGTGAATGGGTGAGTGAGTGGGTGAGTGAATGGATGATTGAGTGGGTGAGTGAGTGGGTGGGTGAGTGGATGGGTGAGTGGGTGGGTGGGTGAGTGAGTGGATGAGTGAGTGAGTGGGTGAGTGAGTGGGTGGGTGAGTTGAGTGAATGGATGAGTGAGTGGGTGAGTTGAGTGAGTGGGTGAGTGGAGTGAATGGATGTGGCTCGTGAAGGACGCTCCTGTGCAGTGGGAGGCAGTCGCCATCAACAGCGGAGGATCGACGCTCACAACAACGAGCGGAGCGCCCGGTAGATAAAACGCAGCGACTTTGCACAGGAGGTGCATCACAGTTTTCTAGATTGGAAACTCATTTCTTTAGAGCGGCTACCTTTTCGTGTCTTTCTCCCACGCGGTTGGCTACGTACGGTGCGAAAGAAGTTCAACATAGTACTAAACGTTGATTATGAATAGTACTATACGTACGGGAACAGCATACCGTGTCAACCCACGCGGTTTACTCCGTATTCTTGTACAGGGAAATTGAGTTTTCAGATCCATACGGCGTACAGCCATTTCAATACGGGCAACAAATATAAAATTGTCTATTTGTTTGTGTTTCTCGCTTGCGATGGGACTTTGTGGGATGAACGTTGAGATTTATAAGGGTACGGAGTTACCAATAAGGTCTGGCTCGGTCTGTAATAAGGTAGGGCACTGATAATGGGGTTGACAGGTATGTAGTAGTGCAGTGTATAGTGGAGTGTATAGTGGAGTGTATTGTAGTGTATAATAATAATAGGGGTTTTCCACCTGTTTTTCTGGCAACAAAACTGAAACCTTTTTACGAGGAATCATGTTTGCATTTTGACCACAATACTTGTGGTCAAAATGCAAACGAAAAACACACCGATAATATATAATACATTGTCCTTGAAACTGATTGGTCCACACCAGAGAGGGCTTTCTTTTGAGCCTCGTCTTAATTGACGTCCTCTGGTCTAGCACCAATTGAGACGAGGCTCAAAAGAAAGCTGTCTCTGGTGTGGACCAATCAGTTTCAAGGACAATGCATATATTAATTATCAGAGTATGTGTTTCGTTTGTATTTTGACCACAAGTATTGTGGTTAATGCAGACATGATTCCTTGTAATAAGGTTTCAGTTTTATTGCCAGAAAAAAGGGGGAAAACCCTATTATTATATTTTGGTACTGGCAAAGGGGAGGTCTAATGATGGTAGTGTATAGTGTAGTGTATGGTAGTGTATAGTGTAGTGTATGGTAGTGTATAGTGTAGTGTACGGTAGTGTATAGTGTAGTGTATGGTAGTGTATAGTGTAGTGTATGGTAGTGTATAGTGTAGTGTATGGTAGTGTATAGTGTAGTGTATGGTAGTGTATAGTGGAGTGTATGGTAGTGTATAGTGTAGTGTACGGTAGTGTATAGTGTAGTGTATGGTAGTGTACAGTGTAGTGTACGGTAGTGTATAGTGTAGTGTATGGTAGTGTATAGTGTAGTGTATGGTAGTGTACAGTGTAGTGTACGGTAGTGTATAGTGTAGTGTATGGTAGTGTATAGTGTAGTGTACGGTAGTGTATAGATGAATGTTGGGATGTATAAGGGCACGGGGTGCCCAGTAAGATCTCTGCTTTGGTCTGTAATAGGGTAAGGACACTGATAAGGGGGTTGACAGGTATGGGACAGTCACCATGACGGTCGTAGCGAGAGAAGAAATTCATAAGGAGGTGGCTACGTGCTGGTGAGCGAGTGACTTGGTCGCGAGTAAGGGTCAGGGTTGGTGCTGGGAGGGTGTCAGCTCAGATGGTGTCGTTTATTGACACGGTGCTTATAGTAACTTGAATTTAAAAGTTTATATTATTATGCCGCTGTAAAGTTCCACACGATGAGTCACTTCTTGGAGTTGTTATTCGTGGCCAGGTCGATTGTGAAAAAATTAACCCGTAAAAACAAAGTTTTTCACTATAAATCCTTTATATGCGTGGCGGCTAGAGTCCTCTCGTCCTCTGGCTTGAGATGGCTGCCACCTATGGGTCAGATGATTGCCTGCCACCATGAAGCAATTGGTAATTAAATGTAATTTATTTTTTCCTAAAAAGTGTAAAATTTTGGAAAAAAATTTTCACGAAAATAAATTGTCTGGCACAACGAGTCTGTGTGCAAAATATCAGCTCGATTGGATCACGGGAAGTGGGTTAAAAAACGACCGAAAGATTTGCACGGTCGTAAGCGCGCAAGCAGGCAAGCAAGTGAACTTAATATAAAGGATTTAAAAAGAAGCTAGGAAATGGTTTAGTATTAGTTGTATATTTTTTAAAGTTATTTTGTTTACCCTTAATATAAATTTTGATTTAACGCTTTCGTGACTGAAGGGATTCATATTCTTGGTTATTTCGGTAAAGTCACGTAGAAGGGAAATAATAAAATAAAACAAATATTGTTTTTATATTAAACTTACTTTACCGAAAGAACCAAGAATATGAATCCCTGCAGTCACGAAAGCTTTAAATCAAAATTTAGCTTTACAGCTCATAGGATTCCCCCTGGGCGAAAGCAAAAAAATAAAGATTTTTAAAGCTCCAAATAAAAAAATATTCAAAGCGCCGTCGCCTCGGAAACGGCGGCAGTGCGTCCCTTACCAAGATGGCCGCCTCCATGCGTGCGTCACGTGTCGATGACGTCATCGCACGACACGTGTTGACTGCGAGCAGCAAGAGGCGGCGGCGGAGGCGTTGAAGGTGGTGGCCGCTTCGGTCGCGAATTTTGTTTAAAATTAAATTTGAGAGTTTTTATTTGCTTGTCGTTTATCGGACGGGGAGGTTTCGTTTGAAGTTGCGCGGGGTTTCTTTTTTAAATGTTTGTCGTTGCTTAAAAAAAACCGCGGAGCCGCATTTATTTATTTATTTCTCGTTTGGCGCCGAGCGAAGCTGACAGCTGCGGATGCGATGAGAGGTCAGAGTTGAGTTTTCTGTATTTGCTGGTAATAATGAACACTAACATTTAATAATGTTCAAGGGGGTCACGTTATAGAGCTTCTCGCCATCATCTCCTGGCGGTGGATAAAACGAGGAATCCTTTTTTTAAAGAGCAACTGCAGTTGTGTGCCAATCCGTCATGGTAATGTGGAATTTCCACCACGGGTAGAGGGTTTTAAAGAGCACCACCCCACCCCGCTTGGTTAAGCAGACACTGTGAGGAGTGTTAATATCTCAAAAGCATTACCTACTTACAATCCCAGACGTAGTATGCTTCCATGCTGGATTTCTATTTACAGCCTGTACCGTAATGTGACACTGTACACTAAATATAGCCTCTTTGTGCAGCCCACTGGGGAAGATTGACCATACTTCACCACGCTGGTCACTGGGGGTTGGGGGAAGGTGGGGGGCGGAAGCCCGTGACAGTTTTAGAGATCGCACGCCACTGATGTTAGCCGTGGACGGGGACTCGAACTCAGGTGGCCGGGTTTCGCTAACCGCGGCGCCACCGCTCCACGCCGATTTTGAGCTGTTATCGATTGCCAGCGTGGTGAGGTCTGGTCAACAACACCCCATGACCGGCGTGGGGGGAGGCCTTCATCCAGCAGTGGATGGATCGTGGCTGGAACTTTGAACAATTTATAACGTCAAGAAGTGTCTTGATACGCATTTAACATAATATTTGATGAAAAAAAATAGTTACTCTAATGCATCAATATTTGTTTTTTTTGTTTATCAAACATTCATTCATGGCGTTGGTCATACATCCCAATGTACCAGGACTTAACCTTGAGACTCTGTAGTAGCAGCAGCATCATCATCATCATCATCCTCAAGTCCATTTACTTTTCTTAGCCGTCAATATGATGTCTTGCCAACTTGCGTGTGTTCTCTCTCTGCCCCACGTGGTCTCTGACCCACGTGCTCTCTGACCCACGTGCTCTCTGACCCACGTGTTCTCTGACCCACGTGTTCTCTGCCCCACGTGCTCTCTGATCCACGTGCTCTCTGCCCCACGTGTTCTCTCTCTGCCCCACGTGCTCTCTGCCCCACGTGTTCTCTCTCTGCCCCACGTGGTCTCTGAACATCGTGTTCTCTGCCCCACGTGTTCTCTGACCCACGTGCTCTCTGCCCCACGTGCTCTCTGGTCTCGGTGGACATTCATGCGTGTCCACCTCTCCTCCACGCTTCTTCGCAAACTCCACACTTCGTGCCTCTATCGTACACCGCCGCGCCTGGGTCTGCCCTACCTCAACGGTCGGAGGGGGAGGAAACGGCAAAACGGCGCGAGACTCCTGTAGTAACTCCTGAAACCCTCTTCATCGTGGCCAGCAGCAGCAGCAGACCTACGGCGACATTGGCATTGTAGCTGCTGGATGGATACCATGCTGCTGCTGCTGCCGCCGCCATCACTGCGCTGGGATAGAGCGCACAAGTGATTCCGTGTGGCACCCTTTCCACGCGCGTTACGCGCTGGTCCCAGTGTCCTGCGAATTAAGAGGAGCCTTGTGTTTGATGTGAAGTGAAACGATGTCTGTGCTGTTCAGCGGATCCCCTTGTATGCGTATGCATGTTGAACTTCTTTTGCACCATACATAGCCAAGCGTGGTAATCTGTGGTGCGTGGAAGGACGACAAACTAAACACACAAAAACATCTTGGTGGTGGTGCTGCTGCTGTAGCGTTGGCAGTGGTGTGCAAATAATAAGAACAACAACTTTCCACACAGGTCAATAACAACACTGTTGCCTTAAAATGCAGAAAAAGTACATAAGCGGCGACGTTTCGGGCAATTGCTCTTTCACAGAAGGCCTCTCGATGTGCTGTGAAGAAGGGCCGTTGCCTGAAACGTTGCATAAAGGCGACAGTGGCGTTGATCAACGCGTTGTGTGTCTGCTTGGTAGGCAGTGCGAGTTCAATGCATTCGTTAAGAATGATTTCTTTGATAATTGGTTTTTTACCCTTTTATCTGGCAACAAAACTGACACCTTTTTTTACAAGGAGTCATGTTTGCATTGACCACAATACCTGCGGTCGGAATGCAAACAAAAAACACAACTCTGATAATGTTTGCACTGTCCTTGAAGTTGATTGGTCCACACCCGAGACAGCTTTCCTTAGAGCCTAGTCTCACATGGTGTTGGACCAGATGACGCCAAAAGGCGCACAACTCAAAGACAACGCACCATCAGAGTATGAGAGCTCGGGGTAAGCATTTACACCATTGGAACCTCATTTGCCAGAAGAAGAAATATGTTAATTGGTTTTTTACCCTTTGTTGTGTGTGTGTGTGGACCAATCAGGGAGACATTCAGACTCTGTCTTCTCGACAGACCTGGTCTTCACCTGAGGACGGCTGCTTGCGTTGTGGCCGAAACGTCGTGAGAATAATTGTATAATGTTTTATTTTATTATTGTATTATTTCCATTCTACGTGACTTTACCGAAAGAACCAAGAAGATTTCTGAATGTTATTTGCAAGAGTATTTAAACAAGCGCCCTTGCCTCTTTAGAGAGCGCCTTGTCTGTGGGGCCGCGTGTGTTGATGCAGTACAGTTCGGGGCGGTTTGCGTGCGGATTATTTAAGTTGCGGTTTTTGAGGTGGAATTTCTCTTTTAAAATAATACAGACGCCGCACACAAGAGACAGATATCCCCCGCGTAGCCTCCAGAGACTTGTGGAGCAAGTGTTGCTTGCGATTAACACCTACGGGGAAGAAGGCCAGTACGGCACACGAGGGGGGGGTGGCCAGCACCTCGCCCATCCACCTTTGTCTCCCTCGTGGGAATGTTGACACCGACACTGCTACTCATTTGTGTTGCATGTCTGTTGAACTTCTTTCGCGCCGTACGTAGCCAACCGTGCTAATCGGAGCGGAATCGACCCAGGACCGGTTCAGATAATCGTCCCTGGTGGTGGTGGTGGTGCCGGCCGTGAGTGGGAATCAAACTCGGGCCACAAGGTTGACGGTTGTGCTAACCGCTCCCCAGAATGGGACCCACAGCACACACACGTGTAGCCACGTGCGCCCACATGCCATGCTCACAGACACACCACGCACTGCGCCAGCTTAGTCTGGATGTCTCATCGTGAGGGTGAGTGCCAAAACAACCAGGGGCCCGTTTGTTTGGATTGCACAGAGGTGGTGGCGGTGGTGGCGGTGGTGGCGGTGGTGGCGGTGGTGGCGGTGTGTGCGAGGGAGCGGTGGGGCAGCGGTTAGCGCTACACTGCGCCAGGAACCCGGCCACTCCGAGTTCGATTCCCGCTCACGGCCACCAACACCAGCGACGAATATCTGAACCGGTCTCCTCCCCTAGGTCGACTCAGCCTCAAATGAGTACCTGGACCAGTGGTGTGTTGACGTTGCAACTAGGGAGACAAAGGCGGCCGGGCGTGGTGTTGGCCACCCACCCTCTTGTGTGTCGTTCCGACCTTCATAGGTGCTGCTCGCAAACAGCACTTGCCCCAACGGTCTGCTGAAGGCTATCCGGGGGATCTTTGTCTTTGTTGCTCGCTAACAGTACAGCACTTGCCCCAAGAGTCTGTTAAAGGCTATCTGGGGGATCTTTGTCTTTGTTGCTCGCTAACAGTACAGCACTTGCCCCAAGAGTCTGTTAAAGGCTATCTGGGGGATCTTTGTCTTTGTTGCTCGCTAACAGTACAGCACTTGCCCCAAGAGTCTGTTAAAGGCTATCCGGGGGATCTTTGTCTTTGTTGCTCGCTAACAGTACAGCACTTGCCCCAAGAGTCTGTTAAAGGCTATCCGGGGGATCTTTGTCTTTGTTGCTCGCTAACAGTACAGCACTTGCCCCAAGAGTCTGTTAAAGGCTATCTGGGGGATCTTTGTCTTTGTTGCTCGCTAACAGTACAGCACTTGCCCCAAGAGTCTGTTAAAGGCTATCCGGGGGATCTTTGTCTTTGTTGCTCGCTAACAGTACAGCACTTGCCCCAAGAGTCTGTTAAAGGCTATCCGGGGGATCTTTGTCTTTGTTGCTCGCTAACAGTACAGCACTTGCCCCAACAGTCTGTTAAAGGCTATCTGGGGGATCTTTATCTCTTTCTGTGTTACCGTGCCGGCTGCCAGAGAGTTTGGCAGCGGCGCCAGGATAGTAGTGGTGGTGGTGGTTGGTGGTGATGGTGGTGGTTGGTGATGGTGGTGGTGGTGGTGATGGTGGTGGTGGTTGGTGGTTGGTGATGTTGGTGATGATGGTGGGTGATGGTGGTGGTGGTGGATGGTGATGGTGGTGATTGGTGATGGTGTTGGTGGATGGTGATGGTGGTGATTGGTGGTGGTGGGTGGTGATGGTAGTTGGTGATGGTGGTGATTGGTGATGGTTGGTGGATGGTGATGGTGATGGTGGTGATTGGTGATGGTTGGTGGTTGGTGGTGGTGGTCATTTTAACGTGGTGTTGTTGTTGTTCGCTTGCTGTGGTCTGGGATTGTTGTTGTTGTTTTGCCGTCTTGCCCAAGCTTGCCTTTGTTGACAAATTGCCAGGAATTGATAAACTTTAGCAATTTGCACTCGCATACTTTATTTATTTACTTGCTTACCTCTCCCATACTTTGCAATCCTATCGGTTGTTTTCGTGTTGTTTGTTGTTGTGACTTTCTGACCCGCCCCCTACCGAACGACTCTGAAGTAGAGCCTCAGGAACTCATCGGATTCCTCCAGTCCGAATAAGTATTCTGATCAGTGATGGTGGTTGGGTGGTTGGGTGGTGGTAGTGGAGGTGCTAGTGGAGGTGGTAGTGAGACTACTTCTGGAGGAGGTTGTTGATGGTGCTGGTTAATGGATGTGCTGGAGATTGGTGGTGGTGGTTGGATTTAAGTTAACTCGTACTGCCATTGTTTCAACTGCTGCTCCTTTATACCAAAAACCCAGAGCAGTGAGTCTCAAGCCCCCTGTTCGAGGAGGTTCCTGCCAGGTCCCCGCAGTAGCGGTGGGTACGGGATGACGATGATGATCCTGACGCT